CCATTTTAAATCTGCACCTTAGTGCATTATTACATGTTTGAGGAGGGCAGGTGGCCACCAAGCTTTACAATGCTTCCCTGACGTAGCCCATGATAGTCTTCTTCACTGTCCACACTCTGTTTATATGTTTGATTAGGTCTGTTTCTGTGTGCTGACTGAGCGGGAAAAACCTTGTCATTTTTTACTCAAGCGAATCCACCCACATGCTGCTTTTTGAGATGCTTTATTTCGGGTTTTCCTCAATTCACAGATCTGCTGCAGCGATTCCTAGCTTTGGCAAAGCTGTGAGAGCCTGTGCATTGCCAATAAGCTGCTACACCAGTGTAGCCTCCTACTCAGAATGCCACCAGAAATCATTTAATAAATGAAGGTTACAGCAACAAGAGACATTTTATTGTCAGATTTATTTATTTTTTTATAGCAACAGATTTAAAAAAGAAAGAAATAAATTTTAAAAAAGCACACACGGTAACCGACGCTTGTGATGGACCCTCAGTTTTGTGGCACCCTGAATTTCATCCCTGTTATTTAAGTATCCCCTTTTCTTTAGTGCGTCCTCATGTTATTCGTGTCCCGAACATAAATGACATCAAGCACTCGTCTCTCAAGAAAAACAGAGAGGCTTTCTGTTGCTTCAGCGTCACCTGGATTTCGTGCTTTAGCAAGACACATTTCTGTGTTGGTGCAAGGCTGGATCCCACCTGTCTGAGACATCAAACCATAGCAGAATAAAAAGGCAGAAGCTTTGCTGGAAGCTGGAGTTGCCTTAAAAAGATGTGCTTTGGCAGGTGAAACAAACAGATCTGAAGCAGAGCATTGTAGATGGACACCACTCATTATTTGCTTTAATGATATTCAGCGCCAAATAATTTCTCTAAGCACAAGCTAAATCCTCTGAAGAAGCTTTCAGCAGGTTTCCAAGTAAAAGCAGACAGTGTTTAGACTACACACGCTCACACAGACAGACTATAATACCCCATTAATTCTCTAAACATACACCAAACATGAGCA